GCGCTCCTGAGCCTTGCAAACATCACCGCGCCTTCCAGTATCTTGAGGGGCCGTCTGGGATCTGCGTCTCTTGAAGCAGCGAGCGAGAGCGAAGCGGCGAGTAACAGCCACACTGTCATCAGGGGCTGCTACTACTACACCGTGTGCAACGGCTTCATGAACCAGCTTCTCTGTCATGCGGGGCACCTTGCTGCCGCGGTCAAGGCGGAGAGGTGCGTGATGATTCCAGACGTCTTTATTGTCGACGGGACGCAGACCATCCCCGATGGGAATGTTCTAAAAAACACGGATCCCACGGAGAGCTCGATCCCCTTCGGAAGCGTGTTTGATGCTGAGACGCTGTTGCGTCGTGTCCGGAGCTACGGCATCGAGGCCGACCTCACACCGTACGAGAGAGGGCTGCACGGCCTGCTCGACTGCTCCTTCTCGGACGGGCTCCGGGCGTCCAGCTCCGGGGTGGCCGCGGAGATCCTGGGCGCGATGGTCCCGGCGGCGCGCGCGCACGCGGCCGTGGAGAAAGTCTACTCGGCCCTGCTGGCTCGCGTGGCCGCGCCCCCTCCGGCCGGCGCAGGCGAGGGCGTGTGCCTGCACCACCGGGACGGCGCCGACTGGCACGGGCACTGCGACCAGTGGGAGCGCCTCTCCAAGTGGAACACGAATTCCGACGACGAAAAAGATGCACAAGCATAACGTCTCGAAGCTCCGCACGGAGTTCTCGGATCGGCGCTGGATCCCCCTGGCAGCGCCGCACCCGGCGCGCTCCGCTCGCCATGGCCAGGGGGTCCAGCGCCGATCCAAGAGATCCGCGGGTGCCTCCGAAAATTGATGCTTGTGCCGGTTTTTCTTCTTCCTGGATTGCAGGAACCAGAGGCCCATCCCGGAACTGATCCAGCATCGGACATCGCACTTGGGGCGCGTCTGGATATTCTACGCCGGGGACAGCGGGGTGCCCGAGAGCCTCAGGTCCATGGGCGTGCCCGTGACAAACAGAGAGGAGGTCTACCCTTCCAGCAGGCACGACCTGGCGTCCTATTTCACCAATGGGAGCCTGGAGTCCTTGCCTCGCGACATCGGCGCCTTCCTGGACTACTTCCTCTGCCTCCGCCTGCCGCACTTCATAGGCAACTCGGTCTCGACGTGGAGCGCTGGCCAGATCGCGCAGAGGGCCTCCAACAGCTCGTGGTACAACTCGGGCTTCATCCCCCTGGCAGACTATCGAAGACGCCTACGGTCAGTCACCGCCGACCCCTGCCCTTTTTGGGGGGCGCCCGTGCTGCCAATCGTTGGGCCGAAGTCTGGCCAAGCTATTGGACCATGTGTTCCCCCGACCGTTGTAGGACCCCATCGGGGGAACATTTTGGAGATGAAGAGAAGGAGGCAAGGGAGGAGAAGGAGGACGAGGAGGACGAGGAGGTGGAAGAAGAAGAGGCCTCCTTGGGGCCTCCTGGAACCTCTCTGGGACCTCTTAGGGGCCTACAAGGGACTTCTTGGCCATCGGAGGCCGTCTTGGGGCCCTCTCAGGGCAGTCGTGGATCCCTTGTTGGGCGCTTTAGGGCCGTCTTCGAGGTCTAAGGGGCCGTCTCTGGCCCTCTTGGGCCGTCTTGCGGGCCTCTCGGGGGCTTCTTGGGCCGTCTTAGGGCGATCTTGGGGACTTCTGGGGCCGTCTTGGAGGGCCGGATGTCCGAAAAGGCGAGAACGTCAAAATCGTGGGAAAACCATCGGAAATCAATCATTTGGGCTTCCTGGAGACGCTCTTGGAGCCCTATTGGGGCCGCCTGGAGGCCATCTCGGGCCGTCACGTCTTGAGTGCATCTTGGGTCGTCGTGCAGACGTCCTGTGGCCGTCTGGGACTCTCTCAGAGCCATCTTGGCGGTCTTGGAGGCACCTGGCAGGCCATCTTGGGCCATCTGGCCCATGTCGGAGGCAATTCGGGCAATAGAGACTTCATTTCCGGGTCTCTCCGGGTGGCCAGCGGGCTGGGCCGGAGGCTGGTGGGAATTTTCTCGCGTGGGCAAACCAGTCGAACATTTGGCACGACAGGCACCCTTTTGACAAAGCAGCAGTGGGCGGCGGATCCAAGAAGCCTACGGCGAATCACCGCCGCAGCCGTCCTTTTGGAAGCGCCCACAGGGCCAGACGTTGCAGCCTGAGCTCGGCCAAGCCATCGGACTGTGTGTTCCCCCAGCCGCTGTGGAAGCTCTTCGGGGAACACGTGGGGGAGAAAGAAGAATAGGAGGAGATGGAGGAAAAAGGAGGAGGAGGAGGCTTCTCGGGAGCCTCTTGGGGAACTCTTGAGGCCTCCTGGGAGCTTCCTGGGGCCCCCTTGGAGGCCTCTTGGGGACTTCCTTGGGCCTCTTGGGGGCATGTGGAGGCTCCTTAGGAAGCACTTCGGCTGTCTGAGGGCGTTCCTGGCCCGTCTGACGCCGTCGGAAGCCTGCTTGGGGGCCTGTCTGGGCCGGCTTCGGGCCTTCTTGGGGCGCTTCAGGGCCATCTTGGATGCCATCTTGCATGCCTTGAAGGTCTCTTGGGCCGTTTAGGGGCCCTCTTGGGGCCGTCTTGGCGGCCTCTTGGAGGCCATCTCGGAGGCCTCGTGGGCGCTCTTGGGGCCATCTCGGTGGCCTCTGGGGCCGTCTTGGGTCGTCAGAAAGCCGTAATTGAACAAACGCCAAATCCTTCAACAATTGCTTGACAATGAATGATGTGGGCCTTCACGGGCCTTCCTGGAGCTTCTCTTGGAGGCCTCCTGGGCCGTCTTGGGTTGTCTTGCGGCCATCTTGGGGGTATGTTGGCCCGTCTTGGAGACATCTTGGGGCCATCTTGGGCTCTCCGGGAGCTACCGTAGCCGTCTTGGAGACCACCTTGGCCGTCTTGGAGACCATCTTGGGACCGTCCGGAGCGGGAAGACCGACGACCTGGGAAGTTTGCAGGCCCTGCATGGGAGTATACTTTTTTCTGGGTGGCTTGCGCACCAGGCCCAGACCCCACTGAGAATTCGTTCAAGAGCCAAAACCAGTCAGAAGTTCAGCACGCCGCGCACCCGTGTGGCAAGCCACACGGGACGGCGAATGACGGAAAGCGCGGACAGCGTGCAATTTGCTAGCCAGAAGAAATGAAATTAGGGGGAGTTTGAAGGGTGGTTGGCAGTCTGAACCCCAGGGATCTAATGGCCAAACTGGCAATTCTGCTCGGGAGAACTTCAAACATTGATACGTGTTAGGATCACCCGCGGAAGGTCTCAAGACGGCCCAACATAGCCCAACAAGATGGCTCCAAGACGCCTCACGTCCGCAAAAAATATTTCGCTATGGACATCCTCGCGGAAATGAAATGTTGTCGGCATCACCCTTGCCAAAAAATCGCAGTCTCGCTCGGGACATCCTCACAAGTATGAGATGTTGTTGGCGTCGTGTTGGTGTCTGTCGTGCCCCAGATGGCGATGTTCCTAAGGATATCTTCACACAAATGAGACGTTGTCGACATCGCTCTTATCAAAAAGGCGGTTTCGGTAAAGGCATCCTCACACAAATGAGATGTAGTCGACGTCGTCTTGGTCCCGGGCTTGCCCAAAATGGCGATTCAGCCAGAGACATCTTCAACACATGACATGTTGTCGAGATTGTCTTGGTATCGTTCTTGCAAGGCCTCAAGACGGCCCGAGAAAGGCCTACAAGACAGACCAAGAGGACCTCGATATTGCGTAAGATGCCCTCCAGATGGCCCACGAAGCTCCAAGACATCCCAAGAGGGCTGCAACAGGATCCCCGAGACGGCTGCAAGGGGCAAAAACCTGCGATTACTTGTAGGTCTGTGAGCGTTTTCAGATTTCCGCTTCCGAGAGGCCAAGAGGGTTCAAAATGCCGCCGAGATCGTTCCAAGACGGCCCGCGAGGGCCCCAAGACGGCCCAAGATAGCCCGAAGACGGCCCGAGAGTCTTCCAGATCCAAACGTGGAAACGCATGGTTCCAGAAAGCGGCGGTCCAAACAGGGAAAACACGACATTCGGACAGCGTACGGTCCAAACGAGGAAAACGCATAGTTTGAAGAGCGGGCGGCGCAAGCGGTGACAACACATGGTTCTTGCACACTCTCTCTGTGACAGTTCCGAGTACAGATGAACGGTCCAAGTTGGGACGACTCGTTGTTCGGACAGCGGGCGTTCCAAACGTGGGAAGCACGTGGTTCTGGAAAGCGGGCGTTCCAAGCGAGGACAACACGACATTTGGACAGCGGACGGTCCAGACGGTCCAAGAGCGCCCTCGAGATTGCCGAAATGGCGATTCCGCTGGGGACATCCTCAAACACATCATTAATCTCCAACATCACAATGTTGGAATTAGTATAACATCGTCTTGAGATCTCGCTTGAACGGCCTCGTGACGGCTCAGGAGGGCCCGAAGACATCCCGGGAGTCTCCCAGGGAGGGCCCCAAGACCCCCCGAGGATGCGACGAGGGCGAGGGGCAGGGAGGACGCAGGAGGAGGAAGAATGGACAATCTAGCGTTTTCTTCCTCCTCCTCCTCCTCCTCCTCCTCCTCCTCCCTCTCCTGCTCTCTTCCTCCTCCTCCTCGTCATCCTCCTCATCCTCCTCCTCCTCCTCCTCCTCCTCCTCCTCCTCCTCCTCCTCCTCCTCCTCCTCCTCCTCCTCCTCCTCCTAGTCCTCCTCCTCCTCCTCCTCCTCCTCCCCCTCCCCCTCCGTGGGGAAGGGGTCGGGACTGCTGGGGCCGCGTATTGACGAAGTCAAAACGCCCCAGGCCGTCACAAAAGTGAGTCGCGTTGTCCGTGCCCGTGCCACGCGGGTCCGTCCGGTGGCCCTCGGCCTGTGTCCCGCCACCGTGCGCGGGCACCAGGTCGAGAGGCGTCGCGGATGCATGTGCGGGGGCGCCTCGGGAGGCCTCTCGGAAGCCTCCTGGAGGGCGGTTTGGAGTGTGTGTTCGGGAGCCCCTTCGGGAGCCTTGGATATATACATATATATATATATATATATATATCACTCGACACAGAGGATTGGAAAGAGCCTGAAAATACTGCTCTCAGTGCCCCACGACACAGCGGCGGATCTCAAGGCGGCGTACCGCGTCCCGATCGTCTACACCTACACCGAGGACGCCTCCGCCTCGGTGAAGCCGATGTTGCAGGCGTCGGTGCTCTCCGCTCTGCAGCACATGCCAGGGATGGCCCTGCACCTGCTGTACCACGGGAGCGCTGACATAGGTTTTCGCGATTGGCTGGAAGCGCATGGGGTCATCCTGCACGATTCGAGGAAGAAAAAACAACATACATATACCCAACAGTTTTCAACGCTCCGCGGGGATGCCGTGGATCTGCGCTGGGCCCACCCGGCAGCGCGCCTGGCGCCCTTGGCGCACCCCGCGCGCTAGGGAGGGGCTCAGCGCAGATCCCAGAAATCCGCGCGGATCTTCGAAAGGTTATGGTTCTGCCGTTTCGTTTTTCTTCCAGCCATCACCGGCCATTCTGGCGCGACAGGGTCGAGCGGTTAAGGCTGGAGGGGTTGAGGGGTAGTTCCTTCATGCGGCACCTGTACGCGGACTCGGGAGACTACTTCGGAGCGTGGCAGCGCATCGACGTCCCGCTGCACGTGTCGGCGGAGTACTGCCTGGTTCTCGACCACGACACGCTCTTCAGCCGACCCGTCCGCTTCTGGGACTTCAGCGCCAGGTTCACGCCGAAATTAGCCTTCTCGACTGACCTGGAAGAGCGGTCTCGCAGTCCACTGAACGCGGGTGTCACTTGGATGAACATCCCCTTCATGCGGGAGTCGCTGCCTGCGTTCCATTCATTCATCTTCAACCACACCAGAGCAGAATTCCAAAATCTGACCTCCCACAGCGGGGCCTACCTGGAATTCTACGGTCGCGAAGTCAAGTTCTTGCCGCAGAGATTTGCCATGAAGCCATACTTCCGGAACACGAGAGATTGGAAAGACAAATCTTTAATTCATTTCAACGGCTTGAGGCCGCACGACTTGTTGCACTATTGGTTCACAGGCTCGTGCGAGCCCGAAAAGTGTTACTTGATATTCAGATTCGATTGGCATCGCTACTTGAACCAGTGCGCTTGCATTCAATTGTGGGGAGCCGCAGCGACGCGTGAAGGGGCAAGCATCGTGGACAACTATTGCAGGAACGCCGTGCCGAATCAATCCTTGTCGTGCCTCGGCGCCTTTGAGCGGCTCCGCGGGGTAGAGCACGAGGCAAACTCATCGATTTGTGATGAGTTCATCAGAAAAGTATCCACCCACAACGTCTGCACTGCAGAGACTGCTTCCGCTCGAAGGACTTGCACCTTGTCGTGAGGGGCATCCTGGGTTCGGCCCAGCTCCTCACCAGCTCGCTCGGTGATGTGTTACCCGGTTGCGGGATACTTCCATGCTTCGGCCTGGCGGTGCCAGGGATCTGTTTGGTTCAGTCGGGGGCCCTCGCTGCGGGCAACTTCACTGGTGCGGCCTTGCCCCCGCTCAGTCATGGCCCGGTCCTATGCTTCGGCTATTTCGCCATCCCAGCTACGGTTAAGTCGGGCCTGTCCCTCTACAGGAGGAATATATAAAAACGTTGTATGTTTTATCTATATAAATATAGAAACAAAATGAAATATGTTTTTTGTTGTTTTCTATATAGCGATTTGTTGAGTATCTTCTGACTATGTCTGAATATGTTTCGAGTACGTATATGTTTCGCCAAAATTACCCCTGTTGCCCGACCTAAGGCTACGCTCCTAACTGCTTCTGGCCAGCTCCTGCGCCCCGACTGCCTAAAGGACGCCCCAGGCCCGCCCCTGTCCTGGAGTGTCCACGGCGCCCAGCCTGGCCATACGGCACGTTCCAGACGGCATCGCCTTCAGCGCCTCTCCGCCTTCGGCGGAAGTAATCGGCGACTGCAAAGGGTATGATAACGCCGGGGTATGGTTTGCGATCAACACCGTTGGGATGGGGGGGCACGACACTGTCCTCGTCCCGCCTCCTCGGGGCGCGGGAGAACTCTATCGAGGTCCCCGCGCGCCCCGCAGGGTGCCCCCCAGGATGTTCCCCAGGGTGCCGCTTGCAAACCATACCCTTTGCAAACCACACCCTTCGGAGTCGCCGAAGTAAGACGGCGGCGGCTTGGTTGGCGGAAGGCGGAGGAAGCAAAATGAGACGCCCACATTTTATGGATCCAGGGTGCTTGAGGTCGGCAGTGTGTTCTCAGCTGCGGGTGATTTCGACGGCCTGGCCGCGTTCTAATGCACTCCCGGCTCAGTCCCGCGCCCCGGTTGACGGCAAGCTCCTCGGTGCCGGCTTGCGCCCGAGTGCTGCCGAGTCGCTCTGCGCCACTGTGACTCGTGTCTTTCCCCGGGCAGCCTACCTGCAAGGGTCCTACAAGACTTTCGTGCGGCGCGCGTGAGCTCTTCCAGATCGGGAATCGGTGGCCCGAGGCCTCCCGCACAGTCTCCCGCATGGTCTCCCGCAACTGTTGCGGCGACGACCTGGCGCTGGTGTCCAAAACTGAACGCCGCCAGGGGCCCAGAACCGGTCGACACGAAACGATCTGCGCTGCCAGAAGTTCTCGATCATCGCGAAGGGTTGCACGATCCACGCGCTGTCACTGGCTAGCCTTCCATGTCCTCAGTCTCCTCACCATGATTGTCTTAGTGCTCCAGCTCTTCCCACAAGAGCGCTTGCACTTAGGAGCTCTTTCTTCTCTTACACTCTTGCAAGCAACTGGGCCTGGCTGTCGTGCTGGCCAGCTTCTTGTCGACGTCGCCGCCCGTCGCCACTGTCCGCCGCCGTTGTTTCTGAGTTTGGCAGTCGGTCGCCGAGCTTGTTGTCGCCGTCGCCGCCCGTCGCCGCCGTCCGTCGCCGTTGTGTTTTGTCTCTCTTTGTCTCTCTGTCCTTCTCTTTTTGTTCTCTCTCTCTCTCTCTTTCTCTCTCTCGCTCTCTCCCTCTTTCTCTCTCTCTCTGTCTCTCTCTCTCTCTCTCTCTTTCTCTCTCTCTCTCTCTCTCTCTCTCTCTCTCTCTCTCTCTCTCTCTCTCTCTCTCTATATATATATCGTTCTCTCTCTCTCTCTCTCTCTCTCCCTGTGTCATTATCTCTCCCTCTCTCTCTCTCTCTCTCTCTCTCTATATCTTTCTTTCTCTCTCTATCTCTCTCTCTATCTTTCTCTCGCTCTCTTTCTTTCTTTCGTCTCTCACAAGTCATCAAGTGTCAATACATGTTTTGCAAGATCCAGGCAAAGTGCACACGCGCGCGTCGTCACACGCGCATGTCGAAATCAACTGTTACAAGAAACCATAGGATCTGTAAGAGTGTCACTGGTTGTTCAACACTACTGCACACAACATGTGCGCGTTTGCTATGCGAATTCCTACGAGTTCGTAGGTCACCCAGGGTGTTCCAGCAGGATCGTCAAATGAGACCACGCGCGCCTCTCGCCCGCACATATCGAAATCGTTAGAACGCCTATGCGCGCTTGTTAGGGGAGGCCCGATCCCTTGTCGAAAAACACCATGCGGGCCACGCGCGCGCGTCGGCCGCGCGCACATGTCGAAATCTTCCCCGAAACCTACATCCGCGATACGTGGACATCATCATCGTCATCGGCGTGACCAGCATCGGCGCCATCAGTGGCCTTACCGTCGTCATCGTTATCGACGTCAACAGCATCGCTAAGTTGATCCTTGTTTCCGCCATAGCCGACGTCACTATGATATCGCGCCCGCCCGAGTCACAGACCCGCACTAATGCGCCCGCGCGCCAGCGCGGCCTGTGAAACCCGTTAGGAGGTCCGCATAAGGGGAGCGCCACCGCGGCCGCGTCGACTGCGCCAAACTAGCTGGCCGCGCTGCGCGCGAGCTTGCGCGCGCTACTGCGGCCGCAGAGGTGCGCCGGCCAGCGTCAAGCAGTCATCGCAATCGCCGCCGCACGGGTCTTGCAAACCAATTTGCCGGTGGGCGGGTGGGATGCTCGCGCGAGCACTGCAGCTGACAACCGTAATTTCTTCAAACTTGATTTTCTTTCTTTCACAGAATGGTAGAATCGCCCCCCCCCCCAGAATGAACGGTTCCCACTTCCGCATTGCAATTTACATACGATCTTCCCCATCGTCCATCCGAAATATGAATTCACATCATCCCAGGCAGACCCGCATCGCCCCCACTCCCCTCGCCCTCTGCGAAGAGCACTATGCGCGCACAGTCGCTTATAACCAAAACCATCAGTTTTTAATTTGCCCGTGCATCAGTTTTAAATCCACCCGTGTTCCAAAAAAAAAATGATGAAGGGCACGAGCACGCGCCAAGGTTCTGTCAGTAACGGCCAAGCGTTCCTGACCGGGCCCGTTCCTGACAGCAACCGCCATGCATAATTAGAGGCCCCGTCTGGGTTGCCCTGGGCGCTCAGCCTCGACTGGCGCAATGGGTTTCAGCAGGGCCCTCGCGTTTCACTGTACTTGACAGTTAACTTGTTCGCCCCGTGTGCTTTTGCTGCGCTCGCGCCTCTCTGCGCGCTGGCCCCTCGTTCTCCTCATCCTCCTCTCTCCCGCGCCATCCTCCTCCACCTCCTCCTCCTCCTCTTCCTCTTCCTCTTCGATCTCCTCCTCATCCTCCTCCGTCCCGCCGCCTGATTATTCTGTATCCAAGACCGCGCCCACTCTTCAACAGACTCCGTGTCCAAGAGGGCGCCCTCTACTCTGCAGCCTCCGTCTCCAAGACAGCACCAAGTATTCAACAGACGCCGTGTCCAAGAGAGCACCCGCTACTCAACGGACTCCGTCTCCTAGACAGTACCAGATTCCGCGTCCAAGAGGGCACCCAGTACTCAACAGACCCCGCTGCCAGAGAGCACCCATTAGATGTTTTTCCAGGTCACGTTTGTGGTTATGGTTCCGGTTCTGGTTTCAGTTTCTTTCTTTTTCGGGGTCCCAGAGAAAACCGTCCAGGTCATGGTTTTGGTTCCAGTTCCGGTTTTGATTCCGGTTTCCTTGTTCTTCGGGGTCCCAAAAAAAGGTCCACCAAGTCACGATTTTGGTTCCGGTTTTGGTTCCTCTTTCTTTCTTCTTCGGGGTCCCGAAGAAGACCCCCCAGGTCACGGTTTTGGTTCCGGTTTCGGTTTTGGTTCCGGTTTCTTTTTTCTTCGGGGTCCCGAAGAAGACCCCTAAGTCACGATTTTGGTTCCGGTTCCAGTTTCGGTTCCGGTTTTTTTCCTTCGGGGCTCCCAAAAGACTCCCCAGGTCACGGTTTTGGTTGCGGTTCCAGTTATGGTTCCGGTTTGTTTCAGGGCCCCAAAGAAGACCGTCCACGTAATGGTTTCGGTTCTACTTTTGGTTTTGGTTCCGGTTTCTTCTTCTTCGGGGTCCCACAGAAGACTCCCCAAGTCACGGTTTTGGATCCGGTTCTGGTTTGGGTGCCGGTTTTTTTCTTCTTCAAGGTCCCAAAGAAGATCCCCCAAGTCACGGTTTTGGCTCCAGCTCCAGTTTCGGTTCCGGTTTTCTTTTTCTTCGAGGTCCCCGAGAAGACCCCCCATGTCACTGCTTTGGTTCCGGTTCCGGTTATGCTTAGGTTTTCTTTTTTTTCTTTGGTCCGTGACGGTCGTCGTGGTTCCAGTTATGGTTCCAGTTCCAGGTTCGGATTCTTTTTTTTGGGGGGGGGCCCAAGCACGCCTCAGATTTTGGTTCTGGTTCTGGTTCCGCATCTGGATTCGGTTTCTTTCTTCTTCCGCGTCCCGGAGAAGGCGTCCTAGGTCACGGTTCCAATTCCGGTTCCAGTTTCCTTCAAATCACGGTTTCGGTTCCGGTTCCAGCTTTGGTTCCGGTTTCCTTCTTCTTCAGGGTTCCCAAGAAAAACCCCCAGGTCACGGGTTTGGTTCTTGTTTCGGTTTTGGTTCCGGTTTTTTGACATGTGGATTGCACCACATAGTTTACACGACATATAGATTGCACCACATAGGTTGCACCACAAAGATTGCATAACAGAATTCCTGCTTCACATGTTGCACCACATATCCGACATAGCAAAGTTCACATATCATAGCTCACACCACGTAGATTGCACCACCGAGTTTATACCACATAGCTCACACTACATATGTTCAACCACATCGATTGCGCAACATCGATTGCACCACATAGATTGTACAACATACGTTGTACTACTTTGCCAGCACCGCGTTCATTGCACCACGTAGCTTGCTCCGCATAGAGCGCACCACATACATTGCACACATAGCTTAAACCACATACATTGCACAACATAGATTTCACCATGTAACTATTTATATATACATATATATATAGCATCGCATGTATCGCACCACATAGATTACACCACACAGCTTCCAACAATAGAATGCACCAAATAGCTTACACCACATAGCTTACGCCACATAGTATGCTGGAAAACACAGCTCGAGGCCCATGCTGGCCAACACTCTGGCTGCTCCTTCCCTGTGCAGCCCCGCCACCGCACACGTCTCTCCGCCGAGGCGCTGTCCGTGGAGCTGAGGCATAAGGCCTCCCTGGGAGTGGTGCTCGCCCACCACACGGAGGCCCGGCGGCCAAAAGCAAGAGGGCGAGCATGATGAGGATGCTTGTCGTTACGCTCGCTTGCTCGCCTGCCTGGTCATCAGAGGAGATTTACCGATACCGCTGCTCGTCCTGGACAGCCCTTGTCACCATGGTCAGACTCTCTTCGAAGTTCTGGTAAGACAGCACTCCGGGAGAGGTCCGGGGAGTACGACAGGCTCGCGCCGCGTTGACGCGGCGGCGACGCCAGCTCGAGCGTTCAAGCTTGAACGCCGCCAGTGGCCCAGAATCGGCCGTTGTCGACAGATCGGCGATGTTGGAAAGCCGCGATCGTTCAAGGTTGAACGATCCATGCGGCGCTAGAAACCAACGCTCACGCCATCGCGACGTGAACCTGCCGTAGCGGTACCATCGGGGCGCTGAAGAAGGAACCTTTTTCGTTGGGGAGGGACTCGGTGTTCCCTGATTGTTTGGCAGCTTGCCTCAGGTTTCCCATGGGAAATCGAAGCTTAACTTGTGGGGAAAAGGGGCCTCGTTCCTTATTCAGGGCTCCTGGGGTCAACGCCCCGACGATATCGGTATCTGTTGGCTTCCCCAGCTCACCCGCGTGTGCTGCTTGTTGGCAGTCCGCCACCGTCTCGCGCCTCTCTCGGCCACGCGCAGAGGGGGGTAGGGGGAGGGGGGAAGGCTTCTTAGAAGCACCCCTGCTTCTTAGAAGGCGCGGTCCTTATGTATAGATGTAAGGCCGCCGCCTTCTAAGAAGCAGCCTCCTTCTAAGAAGCCTTCCCCCCTCCCTCCACCCCCTTCTGCGCGCCGCTAACTCTCGCCCGCTCGCCAGCGCGCGCGGCTTCTTGCGCACGCCGCGCCGCCGCAGCGGCGCTCGGGCGGCGATCGGGCACTGGCACGATCGCGGACAGCGAAACGCTGGGCCTCCGGGATAGGGTCCGAGAAGATGAGGTCGGAGAAGAAGGGCCGCGAGGTTCGAATGGTCGAGGTTTAAAGTTTTCGGGCGTTTCCGTAAGTTCTCAGAGGGCTTCCAGCCTCGGGATGCTTCCCAGCAGCTGCTCCTCGACGAGGGTGTTCGGGGGCTGCCCGGATCGTCCCGAATGGCCACCGAAGATTCGAGTTATGGCCTGGAGACCAAATCCCTAAGTGGGGTCGAAGTAGATGGGGTCGGAAAATCGCGCCGCATCGCCGATGCATCGGCGATGCGGCTCGATGCGGAGCCCGAGTTTCTCCGTGCTGGAGTCGCCGATGCACCGCCGACGTCGCCGATACATCGCTGATGCATCTGCGCTGCATTGGCGATTCGGCGCGATCCCCCGACCCCATGTTTTCGGACTCCATTGAGGAGGCCTTCTCTAGAAACACAGGAACGCAGGATCCAGGGTTGAGGACCGATGGGCGCGCATTCAGAGGCCCTTCTTCAGACGAATTGTTGACGCTTCGCAGCTTGCAGTCCCTGGCAGCCTGCCACCCTGGTTGTCCGCCTCCCCCTGCAGCTCGTTGCATGCGTGCAAAGCCTTGGCCCTGGCCTCCCCACTCAGTGCAGCTTGCAGCTCACGTGAGGCGCCGCTTAGGCAGTTTAGGCAGTTTTGACCCCGCGCTCTAGTTTGCTGCTCGCTGTAAATTAGTAAGGACCGCGCCCCGGACTTACCGACCCGCCGCCTGCGCCTTCGCTTGCGGCCGCGACCAAAAAAAATACCCCCACCGGGTACGACTCGCCGTTTGCGCTTTCGCCCGCGGCCGCGAATATATATATATATATATATATATATATATATAATATATATATATATGTATATATATATGTATATATATATATATACATATATATATATATATACACCCACTGGCCTGCTTTTCCATTTCGCCACCGGCGCGGCCCGCCATAGCAGGCTCGGCGTTCGACTTGCTTCGCGCGCCCGCGAACCAAAAGTATCCCCACCAGCCTCCGTAGCCTTTGGTTCAAGGCCCGCGGGCGGCCCCGCCCCCGCAGCGCGGCCCCGCCCAGCCTTCTGCTTCGAGCTTCCCCCGGCCATGGGCGCCTGCGCCAGCGACTCCGCCGCAGCAATGGCCATGGCGGAGCTTTCGAGCCCGGAGGAGGAGCGATGGAAGCGAGAGGCGAAGGAAATTCCGTGCCAGCTGGTGGACTACTGTCGCCATGGCTATCTGCAACTGCAAGGAGAACTGTTTCGCGGCTGTGGTTCGACGCGCTTCAGTGAAGGTTTGGTGTCTGTGGTGTTTGTGCTGAAGTATTCTGCTCCAGATGGATCCATTTCCGTGCGGGACCACGCGCTGGACTTTCGCAGCTACGCGCCCGATGATGAGCAGTGGGAGGCCGTCTTCCACTACACGTCCCAATTCGGCTTTGTCAACGTCACTAATCTGGCACTGGTGACGTCCACGCTATTGGCCTCACTAGCGGAAGACCGCGCGCACATTATATGTGGAGTCTATGGCATTGTGTTGGAGCCCGCCCAGTGGGGATTACGACTACATGTTTTGATGAACAGTTACTGCAGGGGCAACCCGTTGAGCCCCAACCGCGAGGAGGCCAAGGAGGTCCAGGACAGATGGTCCCGACGGGTAGTTTTTTGCATCCCGATGCTGGTGCCGCATTCCCTTGCCTACAATGTAATGACGCGGCCGCCCCCAGACCTAGCCGCCAAGATCCAGGGCATGCAGGAAAGGGGCGAGTTGTCGAGACCAGGAGCCGGAGTGCTCGAAAGGGAGCATAAACAGCGTTTGGTGGACCCCAATCGCGACGTTTGGGTGGTGCGCGTGAGTGATCAGCACGGCCACGTCACACACCCGGTCACTGCTTCCCATCCAGGAGACATGTCGCGCCCGGATACACGTGCTAACGGAGAAGCTCGTGGCCCAGCACCAGGGGGCCCTCCGTGCCAAGCATCATCTCGCAGTCCTCCTGAGGGCACCAGGCGCAGAGAGGAGGCCGAGGCTCTCTACCGCGAGGTCCTCGCCGTCTGGGAGGGGGCGCCCGGGGCCCAGCACCAGGAGACCCCCCGCACAGAGCATAATCTCGGGGCCCTCCTGAAGCAGACCAGGCGCAGAGAGGAGGCCGAGGCCCTCTACCGCGAGGTTTTCACCGCCCAGTAGGTGCCGCTCGGGGCCCTGCACCAGCAGACCCTCTTCACCAAGCATAATCTCGCGGTCCTCGTGAAGCAGACCGGGCGCAGAGAGGAGGCCGAGGTCCCCACCGTCCAGGAGGGGGCGTTCGGGGCACAGCACCAGGAAACCCTCTGCACCAAGCAAATTCTCGCGAGCCTCCTGGAGCAGACCGGGCGCAGAGAGGGGGCTGAGGCCCTCTACCGCGACGTTTTTCACCGTCCAGTACGTGCCGCTCGGGGCCCAGCACCAGCAGACCCTCTTCAACAAGCATAATCTCGCGGTCCTCGTGAAGCAGACCGGGCGCAGAGAGGAGGCCGAGGTCCTCACCGCCCAGGAGGGGGCGCTCGGGGCCCAGCACCAGGAGACCCTCTGCACCAAGCATAATCTCGCGAACCTCCTGGAGCAGACCGGGCGCAGAGAGGGGGCCGAGGACCTCTACCGCGAGGTTTTCACCGCCCAGTAGGTGCCACTCGGGGCCCAGCACCCGCAGACCCTCTTCACCAAGCATAATCTCGCGGTCCGCGTGAAGGAGACCGGGCGCAGAGAGGAGGCCGAGGTCCTCACCGTTCAGGAGTGGCCGTTCGGGGCCCAGCACCAGGAGACCCTCTGCACCAAGCATAATCTCGCGAATCTCCTGGAGCAGACCGGGCGCAGAGAGGGGGCCGAGGCCCTCCATCGTAAGGTTTTCACCGTCCAGTGGGTGCCGCTTGGGGCCCAGCACCAGCAGACCCTCTTCACCAAGCATACTCTCGCGGTCCTCGTGAAGCAGACCAGGCGCAGGCAGGAGGCCGAGGCCCTCACCGCCAAGGAGGGGGCGCTCGGGGCCCAGCACCAGGAGACCCTCTGCACCAAGCATAATCTCGCGAACCTCCTGGAGCAGACCGGGCGCAGAGAGGGGGCCGAGGCCCTCCACCGCGAGGCCCTCACCGCCCAGGAAGGGGCGCACGGGGCCCAGCACCGGGAGACCCTCCGCACCAAGCATCATCTCACGAAGCTCCTGAAGCAGACCGGGCGCAGAGAGGAGGCCGGCCCTCACGCGCCAGGGCCCCCCCCGTTCGGGAAGGCACGTTTGGGGCCGAGCGGTACATGAGTGAAATCTCGCGCGCCTCTTCAGAGTTGTTGCGCCCGCGCAGGTGCATCGTGAATGCGTTCGATGGTTAGTTCCCAGGTCGTTTTTCAGAACGCGAATGTGTCCCCCCGCGCAGGGATTGGCGTTGCTTGCTGAGACGGCATATCATGGCATTCGAAACTTCTCAATAACCAAAAACAGCCACATGTATACACTCTCATCCTGTCCTTCGTGCATTTGCAGCGATGAGCTGCCGTTCCTCATCGCCCCTGTTCCCTTGCGATTGGGACGTCAGTCGCCATCTTCTCTGCCTCGCCTTGTCCTCGGGATGCCAACTGGTAGGCGCCGCTCGCGGTCCTACCCTGCGCTGGCACACGGGCCGGCGCCTAATGCTCCGTGGCTGGGGCCCCTCGCGGCTGGGGCCGCCGGCGCCTGCCCTGCTGCCACACAGGGCGGTGGCCGCCGGAGGCCCCCTGCTCCCTACGTGGCTCTCTAGGTCGCCCCTGGCTGGCGGCCCACTATGAACTGCTGCAGCTGCTGCCGGGTCTGGGCTACGCGCGGCTGGCGCGCTGCAGCTACGAGGTGGCGGCGGCGCGTTGTCCCGTTCCTCGTCGACGCCATGGCCGCGAGGATTTTTGGCGACAATTCTCGGGCGGGCGCGCTGCCGTCTGAGTCAGGGGCCCCCCCCGCCCGCTGAAGCCGTTCTTCGGCACGGTCTCCCTGGCGACGCTCGTCGCGAGCAGCTGACCGCTGGGCCGCTGGCCGCCCGCTGCGCAACGCGCGGGATACCCGCTGCGGCGGCGCTTAGCTCGCTCTCCTGGCGCCGCGTGCTTCCGGCACGGGACGCCCTCTTGCATGGCCCCGCCGCGCTGGCCACTATAGCTGCTTCCGGGTTTCGGCGCGCTGGGCGCCCTGATGGCCGGTCGCGCTGCTAGTGGTTTTTGGGTCCACATTGCCCTTGCCTAGGGGGCCTCTGGCTTCCTTGGGGAAGGTCCCGGAGCGGCCACAGCCCGACCGACTTCCGCTTCTTCCTCGTGGTGGTCGTCCCTCTACGCGCCGGCGTTCGCCCACGCGCTCTACGCGCACCTGGAGGCCGCTTACCTCCACGGCACCTTCCTCTCACTCCGCCTTCTCGTCCGTCTCGGAGGCGCCCACGCTGCCCCTGCTGGTTTTGCTGTTCCACGCGGAGGCCTACCGGGTCCAGGGCTGCGCGTTCGGCAAGTTACCTAGGGAGCTTGGATGGGCCGTCTCGACCTTCCTATCCTGGTCACCGCCGTCCTGGGTAAGCGTGGCGCCCGTGGACTTCCACTCCTTGGTCGTGAGTGGGGTCGTTCTCCTCCCGCACCTGCTTCCGCTTCGACACCTCAGTGGACATGTTCCTGGTGCCGCTTGTGATGCCGTCCGCGCCATGTTGGCAGTGCTGACCTCCGTCCCGCTGTGTGCTTGGCGTCGCTCGCCTCTCTTTTTCTCCTCTAGCTCGTGGCACGGCCTGCCCCTGCATGCTCGGCGCTCGACTCGTCTTCGCGCGCCCGCGAACCACCAGCCCATGCAGACACGATGCCCGGGGGGAGTTAAGGTGATCAGGGAAGGGGGAAACAGGCAGAAAAACAAAGGGCGGGAGAGTGAAGCCGTCATATAATTACCCCAAGAGCACGAGGATCAAGTTGGAATCGTCGTCGTTGGAGAAGGAGGAAGAAGAAGAAGAAGAAGAAGAAGAAGAAGAAGAGGAGGAGGAAGAGGAGGAGAATGAGGAGGAGGAGATTGAGCAGGGCGAGGACGAGAAGGAGGCGAAGGAGGAGGAAGAGGAGGAGTGGGGCAAGCAGAAGAGCCAGAAACCTGTTGAATGCGACGCCTCACGGAGTCTCCTCGGATGTATCTTAGAAGCTTGTTGGAGACCTCTTGGGGCCTCTGGGGGGCCTTTTGGTGGGCCCAGGGGCGTCTTTGAGCGTCGTGGGTGCTTTGGGGATCCTCTTGAGGCCTCTTAA